TTATCATCTGCATAAAAGTATAGTGCAACAGCATTTTTGATGAAAATATTCTCTTCAGAGGGGTCCCAACCGAGTTAGATAACAGAAAATTCTGTGGTGTGGGGTGTATGACAAGCACCCCCTGGAATGAAAATTATAGGGGTGTGGGTGGTCTAAAGTAAAAGTGCCCTCCATAGGGGGGGGGGGTATTATGGATGTTTTCTGGAACTACACATTACAGTTTACTCATATCACAGTCAACTGTAAGTTGTGAGTCAGGCAACAAAAAAGTTTTAATTACCCTTGTTTTTAATGTTTTTGTCGTAAAAGTAGTATACATGTAGTATTTAAGTCTTCGCATATTTTTGAAACTTTTTTTGCAATTTTATTTCAACTCAGTTGCTTTAAATGTCAGAAAGTAGGTTAAGTGCCCTGAAATTGATTTCTTGGAATCGAACCCATCACAGTCAAACCTCTTTAATACGGACACCGAAGGGACAGAGCGAAGTGTCCATATTAGAGAGGTGTCCATATTGTCTTTAAACTGCATTTAAGTTTATTAATTCACAGTGCAGACACTGTCTTTCACTAGCATACAAAATTGTTCATATCAGCTACATACGTACAGTCATAGACAAATCACTGTTTTAAGACGAAACGAGCTACAGCGCAATGCTGCATGTAAAAAGTTGTAACATAAAGCACAATTCTGAAAGTGTCTTTCGCTATTTTGCAAGTGCGGTAAACAGTAACTAGAGTACAAAATGTAATAGAAAAGATCTTCATGCTATCTGTAGTTATTGAAGCCTTCAAAAAGTTGGTTATGTTCCTCTGTACACCTTTTGCAAATTAATTGTTTGGTATACGGTGACTGGGCTTTTGAAGTCACCTTGCATAGCTCATCAGCCAGACTAGATGGGATTTACCCTGTGCAAATTCACCTGATTGGGATATGGAATTCACCTGATCACTACAGCGACTGTAATAAAGAGGTACTTAAGTTTATATGAATTTACTCTCTGGGGCCAAGATTTAGTGTCCATTGTCCGTATTAGAGAGAGTATTTTAAAGAAAATATAATTATGAGAATTTTGTTGGGAAACTGTCCATAATATAGAGGTGTCTGTATTAGAGAAGTGTCGGTACCGAGAGGTTCAACTGTAGTTTGGTAGGAGAAAGAGAAATCCATTTGTGGTGTGTTTACGTCCTCCATAAAATGTTCGGTGACATTTGAAAACTCAGTGAGGCTAATTATTATCATCAGCTTGAATTATTATTGCATCTTGAATATGTTGCTGAAAATATTTTGTCATTTTTTTTTGCCATTTAAAGGGAGTCAGGAATTTGCATTTAGGAGGGTACAGTGTACATAATCCATTCATAAAAGCCTATGCTTGTCAATTTATATGATTTTTTTAGAATGAGATTTTAATAGACCAATATTGAAAATTTATTGTATAAAGATTTAAAACAAGTTTAGAAAGTTAGAAAGAATTGTACATGATGTTTCAAAAGCTGAGTAGCAGACACATGCAACATTCAAGTTTCTTATTGTTTTAATTTGAATAATTGTTGTGACTTAACCTTATGGATTAAGTTGGCCAATGGCATATTTTTTATTTTTATTGAATCTACAGATTTCGTAGTTTTTTAAAGGATACAAATTAATTCAACAAAACACAATTTTTCACAAGTTCTTTCAACACTATAATCTGTCACCATTTTGGCACACCATTGACAAGGTGCAACAAAAGTGATATCTGATAACCCAGTGCTAGTGAAGCAACTCATGGTGTAATCTGAAATGCTACAGAAAAGGGGTTGGTTCACCAGCATGAATGCTGTACTGTGGCTACTAAACTTCAGCAACAGTTTGCCCAAAGGAGCTGTGACATTAAGCAACAGTAAGGGCGGATTTAGGGGTGGGCCAAAGGGGGCCTTTGTTCCTTGAAATTATTTTGTATTTATTTATTTTTATAGAATGCTCAGAACAATAAAACGTTTCTATATAGCTGGCTGGTGGGCAAGTGTCCCAGCCACCCTTTGCTGAATTTTCTGGATCCACCCCTTGCAGATTCAGTTCATGAGAGATTTCTCCATTTTTGATAACTTATTTATGAGACCAAAAACCAATTCCAGCATACAGCAAATAATACAAAATGTACATGTATGTATTGCGTGCCATTATCAAAATGAAATAAATTATGCAAAAGATTCCAGTTAAACCCCACTAACCCAGCAGCCCAGAGAAGACAGAAAAGATAACTCAGGTTTGTGGAGATGGACCAGATGGAGGGATCTAGGTTGGGAGGTACATGGGAAAGAACTAATAATTTTTGTTGTCAGGGACTTGTCTGACAGCCTTCTTTGTGTATTTCCCTGCAGTAATAACAGTTGCTTATGCTTGTCACTAGATCGATGACAAGTGATGATGGTGTTTTCATCCCTTTTTCTAATAGTTTACTTTTTCCTGATCCTGCTCTTTGTTGAATTAACCTTTCCATGTTGTTTTTCCAGATCTAAATCTCCCAAAGGCTGGTCCACAGGAAGTAACATTTTCTGATTGTTTTTCTTCCTGTGGTTCTGATACTGTGTAAGCTTTCCTTGGGTTTCTGAGGTTGAAATGATTTATTTATTTATTTTATTTTTATTAGCTTTGCCCTGAAGAATACAAAAAAGAAAAAAAAACACTGAAGACATGTAAACACAAACACAAATTTAAATAGCAGTTACAAAAACAAACTGCATGTATACTCCTAGTTCAAAAGTAGTTCAAGAAACTTCCTCTTCTTGGCTTGCTATTAGCTCTTTCTAAGCCACTACAGGTATGACTTTGTGATTTCTCTTTTTTCAAACTTTGGGTATGATTGTAGGTCATGTATATACTGTAAAGTCCTATTTCATTATACAGTACCAGTATGAAAATCAACTCTTTTAGTTATTGGGATCTGAAATATTATTCATTGAGGTCCCCAAAGTCAGCAGCCTATGTTATTTTTACTATATCATTTATGGGTACTTTAATTTTGGTTTCGGTTCATAACATTCTCACAGTTGTTCCCTTGCCCTCTTTGTTCGGTGAAGTTAAGCTCTGTCAGGCGAGGTTAGTACTGGGATGGGTGAGACCTTTTGGGTAATAACACGTAATATACTTTGACTTCAAGTTTATTTTCATTGTTGTTTCATTGTTTTTTCAAAAGAAAGCAGTTTCATTGCTCTTTAAGTAAGCACATGCTAATTAGAACCTTATAGTTTTTTTAAGTCTGGCAAAAAATAGGTTCTAATGTATTGTGAGGTACTTATTGGCAATTTAGGCTGGGTAGGTTCTTAATTAGGTTCTTAATTTTTATGAAGGAGACAATAGATTGTTGGTGAGGAGAAAAACAAATAAATTTATTTATTTATTCACAATTGTGTTATTATAACCCTAACAAAACTGATTACCGAATTTATATCTATAGATCTATATAGTCTAGTACAGTATGTTTTTCTTGTACTAAAATTTACAACTCAAAGGTACACTCCTTTGTTAAATTGTTATCATAATTTAACTGTAACCCACATATAAGAACCTGTTTGATTTTGCTTGGCTAAACAGGTTCTTGTATATTTGGGTATTAAAGTGGCAAATTTCTACCAGGAGGTTCTTAATCCACAGGTTCTTATTAGCGGGTGACTACTGTAACTGCCTTTATAGTCAAACAAGTCAAAGTTCTTCAAATAGCTTCCCCTAATTATTGTAAAAACTGATCGCTATTTAGCAGTTACTTCTATTGAGTAGCCGTGGTCACCTGTTTCGAGGTCCCAATGAGTAATTTGTTATTGTCTTTTATTACCTCAATATTATTAAACTGTCCCTTTGACAAGATGTGCCATACTAGTGCAAAAGGATACACTGAGTAGGGCGTTTAGTGGTCTTTTACAGACTTACCAACCCCCCCAAAAAATGTGAGATTCTGGGCCTAGAGCTAGGAAAAATAGCGAGAAATGGGTAAAAAGTTGTGAGGTGTACACGGCGGGTCATAAATTAAGGAGCAAAACAAGGATCGTGGGTAATTTTAATACTGAGAGATTACAGTACATTATGGGGCTGTTTACATGGAGGGAGGAAGATCCTAGTACCAGGAAGATCCTAGAAGGTGGAATAACTTTACGTTGGGTTTACATGCAGAAATTTCGGCCCGTGAGTTGTCCAAGTAGAGAGGGTTAGAGAAGGAATTAAAAATGGCGGACAACAAAATCAAAAATGCAATTTGGGTCCTTCTGCTCTCTTCACTGGCGTAAATCACTACCTTTCAGCTGAATTAACACAATAATCTGCTCGTGGATTACTCCAAACGAAGTGGTCGGCCTTTATTTACGTATAGTAATTAGCCAATGAACGACCCACCGACATTTTTGTCGCGTTTGTCCCTAGTACTAGGATCTTCCTAGCGAAAGCAGTTTATATGGTGCTAGGATCTTCCTAGTACTTGGATCTTCCTAGCTGAGAGGTAGGAAGATCCTAGCGCTAGGGACAAGTACAACCCTTTGCATGTAAACTGAATACAGAAAAGATATGGCGCTAGAATGATTCGCCTTCTAGGATCTTCCTCTGTCCATGTAAACAACCCCTAAGTTAAGGACCGAAAATTTACCAATCGTAGAACAAGAAATACAAGTTGTGGGAAAAAAAAAGTAACGAAAATATAAATAAGAGCGGTCTTGACAAATGATTTTGAGCAGAACATATTGAACTCATTTTGCTGTATAACTGAAGGCATAACTGTTTAATCCTGTAGCAAGTGAGATCCCAGTGAAATAAGCTGTGAATGGTTGTGTTTAGTTGTCAGAAACTGCCGCTAGAGTCAGTATAACTTAAATTGTATCATTATATTTCCTTACCGTTTCAGTTTTGGTTTCTGCCTGAAACTACAATGAAGGCCTCCAACGATACAGTTACAATTAGTGGGCTGAATGGAGAAAACACTGTTCAACTAAACGATGCTGATCCAAATGAACTTTAGCTTTTTATTGAAAAGATGCCCGCCTCTATCAAAGGTAAGAATGTGAAATATAATTCTTCAAAACTTTGTTTGGTTTTGGTTTTGGAATTAAAAAGGTACATGGTTGAACCTCCGTACTAACCTGAGATCAGGCTCTCTTTTCGTTTCGGTTTGTAAATAACATTCCGGCGGGCAAGGCGAAACGAAAAGAGCAGGGCGGATAAAGGTTGGGCGGTGAAACGAGCGCGTCCGAGCAAAAAGGTGTGATGCAGTGGACTGGAACTCGGCTTAGAAATGTCGCTTGTTTTCGACTTCGGTCAGGGCTTGGGATGTGGTTAGTCCATTAGACACTGCCGCTGTCACTGAATTATGGCGGCTTGATTTGTTTTCTTGCACTTCTTCCTCGTTCCTTTGTGCTGGTACGCTGTCTCCGAGAGGCAAATGTTGCTATTTTTTGCGTGAGGTTTAATTGGAGTAGACAAACTTCTCTTTCAAAGGGTTCTTCTTATTACTTCCATGACTCTACCACTGAATTATATTTTCGTTCTACTACACGCCAATTCGATGTTATTCCAAAACAAAAACAACTAAGTACCGTCTAAAACACGAAAGAAAATCTCGCCCATGTCATCCATGGCAAAACTAAAAGACAGCAGATCGTGTTTCATAACTAGATGACGTGTATTTTATAAATGCGTGTAGCTCGTGCCAGGTGAAATTATGCTAATTTCAATCACCACCATCCTTCTTTTTAATTTTGAAAAAAACATCTCATACGTCTTTCTGTTTCTTCGAAACTTCAAAATTAGTTTCCCCTCAGTTTTTACTGTTTATCTTGTTTTGTTTTAGAGAGAAAAATGGAGAAAAAACCTTACAACTAACCTCAATAAATTTTGTTTACATGCGGTTGCCGGATTTGCGAAGCATTGCGCGAATGGCCATGGTGCGTTGCACCCGAGAAACAAAGTTTGAAGCAGTACAACGCCACTATATCAAAATATATCAATCTAATTTTTTGTTATTTGTATAAAATTTATCCCCCTTTAACATATGTAAAAAGTGAGGTTAAGAAGTGTTAAGCTTTTGCAAACGAAACGGCGAAAGACGATTAGGTGATATTTAGTGGAAGGAGGAGGTATTCAACACTTTCAAGTTAAACTCAAATTTTGGCATGAAACGACCAACAAGTTTGACTTATAGGTACACAGACACAAACATATGAAACTGTTTATTGATATTTTTATGAAACAAATTTATCTATTTAACATTGTAGAATGAAATTAAAGAAAGAAAATAGGATTTCCGGTTTGCAAAAAGGAAAATTTCGCCGGCCTTCAAGCGCACCGGAAGCGCGGAAAGAGCGCTCGTGCCAGTCCTACTCCGCATCATACATTAAATGAAGAGCGGAGCGCTCATTTCACCGCCCAACATTTATCCGCCCTGGAAAAGAGAGCCTGATTTTCAGCGGTAGCCTTTAGAAGAGAATGTATGAGAACCGCTAAAATTGGGCCTGATGTCAGGTTAATACCTCTGTAGATATGTATGGTTTTGGTTTTGAAATAAAAGGAGGAATAAGGTTTAACTTACTGTATGTACGTAGCTTTAGAAACAGGTAGCTCAAGCTTATGGCGAGAGTCATATTGGTAGTTAGTTTTTTTTTTTTAAATTGAGAAGCATATAGTTAATTTGTATGGATTAATTATCCATGGACTAATTCGTACATTTGTATGGATAGCTGGGCTTAAATATTTAAAATTGTCGAGTGAAATATCCAGAGTTAATTTTATAAACTTAAACGCTTATAAATTTGGTCAATCCTCGCGTCAAAACATTGTTCGCTGTTAACAGGTTCAAGAGGGGTGTCTGTAAAACGCGGACCGGATACCTGCGGATGGTGGATGCGAATGGGAAAATGCGGATGGAAAAATGTGGATGGAAAAATGTGGAAAGACGCCAAAAAAAGTAAAAAGAACAAAACGAAGAAAGCGGATGGCAGAAATGAATAAACAAGCAAAGGAAAGAAATCTTTCTTCCAAGTCACTGTCGCGAGGTTGGGCCCTTCATGTACCGTACGCGTTGTCAATAGTAGGCACAGATTACTCAGGGTTTTTTCTTAATTCTTTGAACCCTATAATTCCTTTCATTAATGTCACAGAAACAAGGACGCTCCGTTCCTTCTTCCTAAAACCACGCATGCTATGGTGCACTTCTCCTTTGAGTACATAGCCTGGGTATAGTGTACTCAACTTACAGAAGAGAAAATATTTTCAAGGCAAACAATTCGAGAATGATGAGTTTTTTAGCGCCTCGAGACTAAAAATTGCAGCATCAAAAAGCAAAAAGGCGGAACGTAAGTACGTAAGTTTCCGATTTGGCAGATGCCAATCAACTCCGCCTATCGTGTGAATTTATTTCTTACAAGTTCTACCTTTTGGGATTTGTAAGTGCTCGAATTATGAATTCGATTTTTAAAACTGTAAAATATACTGCCGATTGAAAAGAAAATACAGACTTGATAAGGACTTAATAAGGTGCAAAAAAAAATCGTCTTATATTAAAGCATCCTAAAAGTCAAAATCCCGCAGAAAAATTGTCCCTAGTGAAACGCATTAATGAAGACTAATTTCTGTTTCATTTGGTTTTGTTTTAATTTTTTCTCCAAACAAGATAGTTTCCAAAACATATCCTTAACGAATTTTTTGAACGTCTGTATCGAACAACTGAAAACTCGTGACAGACAGAATTCGGAATCGAAAATATATGATATTCGGTTTATTTGGACCGCCCTCGTGTATCTGGGACGCAGCAACCAAACATAAAACTGCTTGTTAACAAGCCTTTATAAAGATTTTAACAATGTCTACACCAGCTCACCCATTTTTATTCGTTACATACATTCATACATTAGGGAACTTTAGCAACGACGACGGCGACGGCAAAAACTTGAGTGCGGTTCTCAAGAAATCAACTCCAGGGAAATTCGCCTACACTTGCCATTTTCAGCAAACTGGAATAAACGCGACAAAGATTGAAAAAAAGGGCAATTCATTTTAAAACTGACATTTTCGCTGCCGTTGCCGTCGCCGATGCTAAAGCTCCCTATTGTTTACAGGTAGCCATTACGACACCTGAAGGAGGATCATGAGGTTATCGCTATATTAAGATCTCTCCTTACAGATACCCACCCAGCCCAGGAAATGTTAGCCACACCACTAGGGTCTATAACGTCCCTTACTCTTTTCGAACAGTGGTGTGGGTTCTTTTACGTCCCACAAGAACCAGATAAGTGACAGTACTGTGAGAGGGACCCACGGTTTTTTGTCCTTATCCGAGAAGACTAGAAAGTGTAACCGTTTGCATGACATTACAAAGGCAGCACTTTCTTCTGAGTGTTGGTCCGGCCAAAGTTTGAACCCGCGACCTCCGACCCAGCAGACCGGCGCCCTGCCAACTGAGCTAACCAGGCGGCGGTTTCGTTGAAAGAACCTTTGCGTAAAATTGTGAAAATGGAACGAACGCCCGACAAATTCTTCTGTTGAGGGTACGGCATATTGCTTGATTAGAAACTCTGTGGATAAACCCTCATTAAACAAGACCGATTCACACAAAACCAGAAGAAAAATACTGAGGATTTGTGATATCAAGTTTAGAAGCATAGCTTTTACGTCTCATCTCTCTCTTGCGTTGAGCATGTGGTAGCCCCTCTCCTTTAAAGTCGTCAAAAACAAATCGCAGATTCTAAAGGACCCAGTTTGCTCAGGAAATTAGAAAAGACCCGAAAATGAAAAAGAAAACAATTAGTGTAACAGTAACCTACCTTTTGATCTCAAAAACGGGCAGTTGAGAGTCACGCTCTGAACTGTCTTCCATGGCAGAGTTGACTATAGTCCAGGCGGAGTGCCAGCGTTACATGAAGAGCCTTTTCAATACCAGGCTCCTTTGTGGGGAATCAGGGCGATTTACGAGGCGAGCGGGAAATAAGCGAAGCAACGCACGCCAATTTTTTTCGCGCAGTTCACCCTTTTTTGGTTTATTTTGTCTTGTTTTCTTCAATTTCTTTCTTTGTTGTTTTTTTTTTAAGAATAAAAAGTTGCCCCAAGAACTTTATGTACGTGTTTTCTGTCCGATGATGGATATCAAACTATTCTTTATAATCGGGATTTAAATACAACAGAACCATAAACAAAGAACACATGCTTTAGTAAAATTGATGTATCCAAAATATTATTATTTACTACTGTGTGCAAGTTATTCTTAATTCTGCATTTGTCTATCCGCATTTTCCCATCCGGATTCGCATCCGTCATCCGCAGGTATCTGGTCCGCGTTTTACAGACACCCGTGTCAAGAGGGGTAGACTACAATAACAACATTTATCTACTTAAAAACAAAAACGCCCGTAGAATATAATATCGGGGTGGCCCCAATTCTAGTGATTTGGAGTCAACAAATCAGATCATTCTTAATACTATGAAAGCTTAGAGACAGATTTTAGTCTGTAATCCAGAAATCGATTGATGCGAATTTTCATTCGCATCAATCGATTTGGCGGAAAATTCCCCGCGAAAATTTCCCTTGAGATCCTGACTCGTCCTCAGTCTTCTCTTATCATTTGTTAGCGGTCACGAGAGAACAGAAACCTTTAGCATCAGGTTTTTCATGGGAAACCGCAAACCGGAAACCTGAGGATGTCATGTGACCACGGTCTTGCTGTCTCGTTTGCCGTTTGGAGTTCACGTTTGAACGGCAGGAAGGGCTTTCAGCAGTAAGTGACTTACGGCAAGGTTTTTTTGCCTCTAAAATTGTACAGCCTCACGTTTAAAGGCACAAATCAGCTTTCTATATCCACCTGAAATGTGCTACTTAGATTTTTGATCTCGAAGCAATAAATTATTTATGTTTTTGGGTGAAAAAAGCAAAGAACTTCGAATTTACCATGATGCTAAATTCACTGGGTGTGTCCCCCGTGTATAACAAAGTGTAAAATTCTTAACACTTTTTGTCCAAGATTGTATTTTCAGCATTTGGCCCGATAATCAAAAACGACCGGGGGAGGGGTAAGTACTCCTCCATTAAATTATTGTATTTGTCCAAGTGATCTGATGTCATAGCTCAGGACGACCAATTACCGCTAATTAGGGTAAATAATAGGGAAAGTTATTGTTACGTCTTTGGGGGGTTAGGTATACGAGCAAGAAATATGGTTTTCCACGGCGCAATAGACGGGAGTTTAAAGGCGTATATACTTTATGCATTGCAAGACAAGCAGCACAAGCCTCGAGAACTATCAGAAAAACTTGGAGTTTCATTAGCCACCATCTATAAGATCAAGAAGGGCGGATTCGAATGTTTAAAGAGAAAAAAGATGAGAGCGAGCCCTGGACGACCGCGCAAGATCGATACAAGAATGGAAAGATTATTGATCCGACAAGTGGAAAACCTTCGTCGTGAAAACCCTAACTTCACTAGAGGTAAACTGGTAGAGGCCTGCGGATTGCATAGAGGTCAAGTAAGCAATAGAACGGTGCGTCGTGTTCTGAACAAGCGTGGATTAGGATACAGACAGGCGCGTAAAAAAGGGGTTCTTTCCTCGAATGATATTGTATGTAGATATCGCTTTGCTAAAAAGATTCGCAAAGAAAAACCGAGAGACGTGTGGACTTCCAAAGTGAACTTTTACTTAGACGGGGTGAGTTTCTATTACAAAAGAAACCCTGCGGGCCAGGCAAAAGCCCCGCAAGGCCGAATATGGAGGACAAAGAAGGAGGGTCTCGCTGAGGGATGCACGGCGAAGGGGAAGAAAGAGGGCAGTGGTGGAAGAGTTCTTAAGCTTTTTGTGGCTATTAGCTACAACAAAGGGGTTATAGCTTGCCATCCTTACGAACACCTAGATGGACAGTTTTTGGAAAATTTGGTTAAAGCCAATTTTGCTAGTTTCTTCACAAAAGCCGACAAAGGGCCCTCCCGCCTTTGGCTTCAAGATGGTGATCCGAGCCAGAACGCTGCGGGAGTGAAGAGGGCTTTAAGAAAACTTAAAGCCGAATTGTTATCCATTCCTCCCAGAAGCCCAGATTTAAATCCTATAGAGAATTTGTTTCATTCAGTAAGGTGCGACCTCAGCCAACAAGCTTTGAGTCAAAATATTACTCGCGAAAGCTACGACGAATTCCAAAGCCGAGTAATAACTACCTTTTTGAACTGGCCAAGCGAATCGATTGATAAAATTATTGACTCTATGAATGGTCGTATAGATTTAATCATTAAAAACAAAGGGAACAGAACAAAGTACTAAGCAGTTGTGAAGAGAAATGTATACAATGGTTGAGAATCAGTACTTGAAAATAGGAAATAAAAGGAATTACATTCTCTTATACAGTACAAAGCTGACGTCACTTCCGTTTGTCTTCAAGGTTAGTTCCGGTTTGTAAACCGTGTACTTTCGTGTTCATTTTCGGGACGATTCTTAGGCGAAAAAATTCCGTCGAGCAAGGGAATTATGTGTCCCGACTACGGTACATAATAATCTGCACAAACAGAACATATTGTTCTTAAAATGGCTATTTCCAAACGGTTTACAACGCTTTACTAGCTGTCTTTAAAGAATAGTTGAGTGACAGTCTCATATTTCAAGGGTTTCGATGTTAACTGTTGTAAAGGACGTAAATGTGCAGTTTTTTTTTGCTTCTGACTAGACCTTTGTAATAATAAGTTTTTGTAAACCGTTGGAAAAAGTGAAAGATCTAGGAATAAGTATTTTTCAACTACAGAAAATGCTCCGATTGTTGTAAACCGTTGTGCAACGTGACGGCACGCATGAAAAGTATTTTTATAAACCGCAAGTAATTAGCTTTGCAAAGCAACTTGGACAAGGTGGTATTGCACGCTGACTTGTCTTAGGAATCTGCACTCTTAGTTCAAATATTTTCCACCTGACGGCCATCATTTCACTTTCTCTATCATCTACCATGCCATTCTTGATGAACAAAAGTGGCCGTTTAGTGGTACAGAAGATGGGAGTATCCTTTGTCAACTGAATATCTTGCATGAAATGTGTCTTGGGCGCTGGAAAATGTACTATTTCCCCTTCAAGCAAAAGCAATAAATCGTGCCATGGTAGCAACTGCTGGGACCATCGGAAATCGTTCAGAAAAATACATTCTTTGTCCTGTACACCTACCCACGCAAAGCTACCCGTAGCCGGGTTACAGAAAGTGTTGTAAATTACACTTAGCGGCTTTAAAAGGAATGTCTTCGCACAATTTGCAGGTCCGATAATCATTATGTTCCTATATTTACCCCTGCCTTTCTCTAATGCGGTCATTATAGCCCTACCAAAAGTACGTTCCTCAATATCATTGTTCTGTAGCACTTGTCTGGCACATTCGAGCCACTCCTCTCTAGTAGCACACAAACATTCTTCATTTCCTGCCTCTTGTAGAATCTCTACGCGTGATTTATGGGCGCGCGTGATCTTTTCCCCTGCTTCTTTTATTTCCCACGTTGTTTCAAGCAGCTCAGATACTGCTTTACGAGATCTTCCAATAATGAAGTCCATCAGATCCTCTTTCCCTTCCCTTTTCTGTGTGTAAGCTAGGGCTTGAAGCTCCGTCACCGTTTTGATGTTTTTCGCTAACAGTATATCAGCTACCTCGGAGGAGGTTAAACGTTTTCGCTTCTTAGTTTTAGCGACTTTGGAGCCGCCCGGGCCCCTTTTCCTACCCTTCTTTGCAACGTTTTCGCTCGCCTTGCTTGTTTTTGGCTTTCCTTTGCTTTTTAAATCGGGGTGCCCTTCACTCTCCTGAAAGTCCGTATCGCTTTTGGTAACATAACACCACGCACTGTAGTAGTTATGGTGATGGCTTGAAAAATTCACAGTTATACCATAGCGCTGCTTCAAAACCCTCTTACAACCATGCCACTCCATCGGCAAATTTTTTTCAGTTTAATCGCAGCATGGTAATGTATACCCCCGTGCTTGTGGTTTTCCTCGCTACAACACCATTGCACGACATCAACACCAGCTTGCTGGAAACATTCGACTAAAACCTTCGCAAAGTATTCACGTGTAGGGAATTCACACTTATTGGCTTGGCTATATGTCACCAAACAAACTGACCGCACTTGGTTTAGTAGCAACTGTGGCTGTGTCTCAGCGGCCGAACAATCTGTGTCAGTGTCGTTATCACTAGCCGATGTTTCGTAAGCACGTATTAACTCCATCACAGGATCTGTAGAGTAATGAACATTATAATTCGGTGACCATGACAACTAAGCCTCGTTGTCACTGTAACGTCAGTCTTCTATGTTCACTCACCCCCGCAGCATTCAGAACCCTGACAGCGGACCAAACAGAATTGAACAGTCACTTTTGGATTTTCTAAATCTTTCTCTTTATTCCATTTCTACAAACAACACCTTCTTTTCACTAAAAATGTTTCCTGTCACCCATACTCTTCAATATTTGAAAAATACAATCTTGGACAAAAATGTTAAGAAAAATACACCTGGTATGTTTCATTTTAGAATACTTCACTCCAAAGACCCCTACACTCAAGATACTTTCCCCCCCCCCCCCCCCCAAAAAAAACAATGTTGAAGGGTCACCGGAACATTTCTGGTCCAGACTTAACAACACTGATCGGGGAGGGGTGGGGGGAGGGGCCACCACGATGCTAAATTCACTGGGTGTGTCCCCCGTGTATAACAAAGTGTAAAATTCTTAACACTTTTTGTCCAAGATTGTAGCTTCTTTAACAACATGCAACTTTATCACAGTACAGATTAACCGTTGAATGTTGATCGTTCACAAACATTGTGCAACTTTTACAACCTCTATTATTCGGATACTTGGGAAGGTCCCGAAGGTGTCCGCTTAATAGAGGTTTCAATGTATTAAATTAGAAAATATTTGGTTATTTCTCTCTACACTTTCGTTGGGTAATTCATCGACCAGTAAACATAGCCTTAGGAAATGGATCCAAGAAGAGCAACATGTATTTTTTACCCCTTCATCCTCTTCTTTCCAAAGGCGTATCTCACGCTCGCCTCCCATCAATGTGGCCCGGGTTCGAATCCTAGGGTCGACTCCATTTATGTAGGTTAGGTTTGTTGTTGGTTTTCTCCTTTGCACTAAGAGGTTTTTCTCCGGGTACTTCGGTTCTCCCCTCTCCTTTAAAACCAACACTTTCAAATTCCAATTCGATCTGGAACGCACGGACATGTTTCAATCGAGGTCTTAACAATTCCCAGGTGTTCGTTGGTAAACAAATTACACCGAAAAAAAATGGCCCCAGTTGTTGAAACGTTAGCGCTGTCTAGCGGATAAATCCCTATATCCAGAGGAAAAGTACAGTTTGGATGCAGGAGATTTCTCACTGCTGACCAGAAAGATCAGCCCAATTGCGTTATACACTGGATAGAGATTTATCCAGTGGATAACGATTGAACAACCGCTGCTTGGTTCTTACGTGCTTGTGCCTATGTTATCGTTACACTGTATGGCTTTACATTTTTTGGAAGAAACCACGGCCCGGAGTCGACCGTAGGTTGATTATAGCCCGCAGGCGTCACCAACGCGGGTATATAGTCCCGATTTATTTCTAAGTTTTATCTAGGTTTTGAGTTCTGCATCGCAGGATATAGATCTGCGATTGATTTTTTTTAAGTCTGCGTAAAAAGGACATAATTTTCTGTTTTTGGACACCCCTTAGCTTATGTGCCTTATAGCTTGTGATAAAGAATGCAACAGAATACCGCCAGTATATAGTACCGGACTACAAGTTTAATTTTATCTAGGGTTTGAGACTGAGAAAAGTATGAGAAAGCTTATATGTTTTACTAAACGTCTGTTTGTAGTTTAAGAATTTAGCTACAGTTTACATTGTCACATAGTCCTTTAGTATAAAGTTTTTACAATAAGTATCTGGTTGTAGAATTAGATAGCAAATTAACATGGAATGAACATATTTCTGCCATTACCGGGAAAGCGAACTCTTCCCTCGGCTTCTTGAGAAGAAATCTATATAACTGCCCCGAACAGATCAAGATGCAGGCATATTATTCTTTAGTTAGACCCCACTTGGAGTATGCATGCTCGGTGTGGGACCCACATACACAAAAGAACATTCAATCAATTGAGAACTTCCAGCGTAGAGCGGCTCGTTTTGTTAAGAAGTGCAATCAGCGCACACCGGCTACCGTCACAAGTTTACTAGAGGAGCTAAAATGGCCATTATTGGAACAGAGAAGGAAACAAACAAGATTAACAAACTTGTATAGGATCGTAAATGGCACCCTGGCAATAGAAATTCCAAATTACTTCAATCAGAAGGAACGCCAAACAAGAAATTACCACCCACTTAAATTTATAAATGCTGGTTGCAGGACTAATATATATAAATAAGTCTTTTTCCCAGATCCGTTAAAGAATGGAACGAACTTCCCGAAACAATTATTGAAGCTGCCAACACTGAGGCCTTCAAGCTTGCCTTGAGGGCCCAGGCCAGGCCCCATTGAGCATTAAACACTTTTTATTTTTAGATCACCAGCACAAATTCACTGCACTGTTTTTAGCGCACATAGCACGAGCACAGCACATATCTGCTGAAGATGGGCTGTACTGCTCTTTGCAGATCAGACATTTAGATTTAGATTTAGGGTTACACTTCGTGTTAGAAAGTTATTGCATTTTATGTCAAATTTGTTACATCACGATTTAATGTTTCATTTTGCTTCACATGTTTTTACATTTCTCGTTAAGGTTACATTTTGCGCCATAAACTTCGTCTCTTCCCACCTTCCCTCCTGCCCCCCTCCCCCTACCGACTATAACGACCAGTCCAACATTGTTTTTTTGTGTGTTTTCTTTAGGCCTACAATCATGAACAAAAGTCTTGGGACACTTTTGCGTTTCTGGAGCGTTTTCCAATTCACATAGGTCCAACCTCTCCCCTCACCCCACAAAAAATGTTGGACGCGTGTATCCAGAATTTTTTCAACTTTGTATAGGGTGCGGGGAGGGAGAACTTCAAGAAAATTTCGAAAAGGATGTACTGTTTTAAAAGGGAACCGAGAAATGACAGAAAAATATGAATATTGCAGTACTGTCCCAAGGACTTTTGTCCAGGATTGGTTCGGCGTCTGGCTCAGTTAAGTTCGTTTGAATGAGTTTGGATCGTCTAACACGTTCTATCCGTCTGCTTTCAATTTGTATTTCCTTAAATATCTGAAAAATGTCAAAGTAATTTTAATTTCGGACTGCATCGTGTCGAAACGTTTTTATATCAAATCGACTGATCTATCCATATGCCCACTGAGTAACCTTTAATTAAGATACATGTGTGCGAAAAAATGAGAACTCGTTCAAAGAAGGGGCTTTGTTCTTGGACATACTCTTCAATATTTTGTGTGAGTTTACAAACAAGCAATTAATATTAAGTGACAACTGGGGCGAAAAGGAATTCTGAATTTCATCCTCTTCATCAGTATTTCGTTTATGCTCATGCATTGAAAATTATCTATAAAGTCAAAATTTGTAATTTTTCTTTTTTAGTTGACACTTAATCGTTTCGCTCATGTTACTTGGGTGATTTTGATTGCCTTGTTTGTTTTTGATCATAAATTATCTTTTCAGAAAAAATGCAAGATCTACGAGAAGCAAACTCGCCAGGGCGAACCTCAGAATTAGAAAGACAGTTGAGGGATTTTCAGCGACGTGAAGAAAACTTCCAGAGGCAGTTACGGGAGATGCGGGAACGTGAACAGAATTTACAACGGCAGCTCAGAGTGGTTCAAGAACGGGATCAGTACTCTCAAAGCCAGCTAACGGAGTTTCGTCAACGTGAACAAAATATGCAACGGCTGGTGAGAGAGTTACGGGAAGGAGAACAAAATTCTCAAAGGCAGCTGATGGAGTTTCAACAACGTGAAGAAAATTCTCAGAGGCAGCTGAGGGAGTTGCAGCGGCAACTGAGGGAGATAGGACAACAGTTGACGAATTCCCGAGGACAAGTTTCTGAACTACAGTTAAGTCTTTCAACAGCTCAGCAAACAATAAATCAATTGCGTAACCAGGGAACACGTGACTGGGTTATTCCTCGCGACGAAATTCAAATCACAGAGAAATGCCTTGGGAGGGGAGGATGGGGAAGTGTCAATGAGGGAACGTATTGTGGCTGTACTGTAGCAGTAAAGCAAATTCATGAGTTGATTCTCTCCCCTCATAACATACATCTTTTTGAGAGAGAAATGAATATTGCATCCAAGTGTCGCCATCCTCACTTACTACAGTTTATCGGCGCCACAATTGACGAGGGAAGTCCTCTGTTTGTGACCGAGTTGATGGAGAAAAGTTTGCGGACTCTGTTAGAACAGCGGCAAATGTCCGAAACAGAAATACCCACCATTTCTTTGGATGTAGCCCTCGCACTGAACTATCTTCACCAGAAGAAACCAGAACCCATCATTCACCGTGATGTGAGCAGTGCTAATGTGTTGCTATGGCGACAGGGTGACCAATGGAGGGCCAAAGTGTCAGATTATGGCACTGCTAATTTTATACAGCAGACCATGACAGTGGCTCCTGGAGCAAGGATTTACAGCGCACCTGAAGCACTTACATCAAACCAAACAGTCAAGGTAAGTATAAGTGAACATTCAAGACTTTTGACTTACTAAAATTGTACAGCAATGCTAACAGTGGCGGAAGTGAAAGTGACCCTTGTCCTTTCGCCCAAACTCGCCTTCTTGTCACTCCACAAACAATACAACATTTTTGAACTGAAATGAGCATATCGTTGTCAGGAGTCTTTGCACCTTGTTCTGCACTTTTTTCACTCTTTTATGTTCTTTTTCATACATTTTGTCCACGTAATTGGATTTGTTAATTTATCCCTTCTTTTCTCTAAAGACAACAGTTACAGGATGGCAAAAGTTAGTTTTTTTAGAAACAAAACATTTAAGCCAAGAACTTACTATGAAGCCTTTTAAGAATCTTCCGTTTTCTAGGCTTTTCTTATCCATTTATCGATAATCATCTATTTCGTTTGAATTCTCGAGATTCTCCCTCTGGTGTTAGTTTAACTCTTTTTGTAATCAGTATATTAATAATAAGTAATGTAAATAAAGAATATTCTGGCATAAAGTCATGTATTATGATTTTTTTTTAGGTTTATGTCTACAGTTTTGGTGCTCTTCTCTGTGAAATGTGCATCCGGGAACTGCCAGATCCTACAAGGCGAGAAGAACAAGTCGTGCTTGTAACGAACGCTGTGTTTCGCGGCCTGGTACGGCGATGCCTGAAGAGAGAGCCTGGGACGAGACCAACCATGCAGGCAATAATCGATGAACTGAAAGATGCCAATGCATCATCTTAATTGTAGAACCAACGCTACACCATATCATTGATAATTCCTGGCAATGTGCCCTTAGCATGTACCAGTCGTTCAGATAGTGGGGAGTGGCGCGCGCTTTTCTTTGCGCCTTCCCCACTATCTGAATGTCTGTGCTCCGAAAATTGAAGAGGGCCCGGTGCTCTGAACCTGTGAAGATTGTGAAATCCAGGGTGCCCAGGATTTGATTTATGTGAAAAAAAAATACTTCCTTTAAGCCCAAGGGCAAGATTAAGGCACCAGGCACTACTGGGCACTGGCAGAGAAAGCTCTGACTGGGCATTTATTGGTAAAAATAGCAACACTTTCTGCTTGAAGATTCAATATGGCCGGATTTTCTGATATGAATAAGTGTCTGTATGATCGTTAGAGTAACAAAAATGAAAAATGATAGCTTTATTTTACATATGCAATACATTACTAACAAAATATATTTTTACATTTATTTACTTGTTTATGAAGGTCATACAGCCGAAGTAGACCGCAATATAAATCAAAGATAGGAGTAGATAATGTAGCCTGCGTCGCAGACGTGATCTTAATCCGGTTTATAATTTAAAAGTAACGTTCTTGTTCTGGGCCCTCAACAGACTGAAAGAATTACCGGAAGCGCGTACTCAAATCCTGGTGCACAGGTGGGGGCCCTGATTGAACAACGGTTTCGGCGCTGTTTTGCAGACGAACTTAACCAGAGGATTTAGTTCCACCGTCTGTGGCGCAGGCTATGGATATGGCGCTTATTACAAGTTGTAGAATGTACAACTAAATATGCGTATTAGTTAGCAGTTACGGTAGACTCAAAGAAGACATTTATATTTGAGTTAAAACAGAGTGTACGTTAATTCCAATGAAGTACGTTGTAGACGTGAAATATACTAACTTACTGAAGATATTAGTAAACATGTCGCTTGTAACAAGTTTTAGGACAGAGAATTAAATACATACGTCCAATAGTAATTAGCAATAACGGCTGACATTTGTTTTTTACTGGCTATACGTAACGTACTTATAAAGGGGGATTCGTTCCTTAATTCCTATTTTGCATACAATATAGACGTGAAATAGCCAACTAAATTGACTGAAGATACTGGTAGATATGTCACTTATAAAAAGTCAATTAGGATATACCACTGAATCCGCGTGTAGCTAAGTAGGTCACCTGCTTATGAGTAGGTCATATAAATGAAATAGGCCATGTGAAATAGACAATATGGAGTGAAGACAAGTATATGATGGCTTATGAAACGATTTAGCGTTTACGATCAAACGTGCGAGTTAGAAAGCAATTGTGATCAGTTAGAGTTTGCTATATAATGGGTTATTTCAAAAATAGAATGCTCATCAATTCAGATATTTTAAAGTAAGTCATTCACGTAAAATAGACAATATTCAATAATAAGAGAAACGAGTAGATGTGTCGCTTATATATTTGATGCACTATTAGAGTTTTCTATTCAACGGGTTAGTCGACTTACAGAATAGGATTTTACCCAAATTACTTATTAAGTATACAGTGAGTATAGGTCGTACACTTAAAATAGACAATATTTTAACAGAAACGAGTAGATTATCTTGCTTTTTGCAAGTCTCACAGGGCATTCAATAAATATACAACTATGGCAGCTTTTAAAGCCGAGGTTGAGGCGATTTTTGTCTTGTTGAGGCTGTTATGATGAGGGTGTGTCTTGTTTCGAGACCACAATGCATTTATTTATGCCAGTAATTCTGACAGGAATGACATCGTAGAGGTGATCGTATACAGCTCCGCACAGCTGCTAAACACATCGAACACGCATTGTTTGTCGCAATGCATTTCTTGGAAATTGAAGGGTGTGTGTAAGCTGACTCTCTTAAATCTCCGTGCTTGGAGTTAAATCGGGGCATTTAGTTTGAGGTGGACCTAGAGCGAGGAACATAGAAGCTTCAATCCAACCACAGGCACAGTGCACAGAGACAAATTTTTATCTTGTTTGTTCATAAAAATGCCTTTTGGTTTTAGATTTGGCGAAAGGGATCACGCTTTATTTAAAAAGAAGTATGTTACTCTGTTTTGGCTCTGGGAATCATAAAGGCTAAATGCTTCCCTTCAAGGCCTTCCAGACTATGGGAAATCAAGGAAAAAGAGTGTAAACGTAAGAACGTTTTTTTTACAAATTCAATACCGGTTATACTTCAATGACATAAATCATATATATAGCCTGAATTGGTGTAAATGTTTACAAGACATCTGCATACACAGAAAACAGTTCTCGGAAAGAACGATCATGACGGTTATGAATGTAAATATGAACGCAGTTTTGCAAACCTGACAGTGCTTTCTGTTCGATTCATATTTTTGTCTAAGGTTCAATCTTTTCTTTCTTTTGATGGTCGTTGTGCGTTGTGTTTTGGCAAGACTCGACATATTGCTAGTACGTTACCCTCTCTGTCCCGTTATTCTCACTTGATAACACGTATTTCTGCTTTCAGGGAAACTAACAAATACTTCAATTATTGAAATGTTTATACATTTTATTCCCGGCCTTTTAATAAAACAGCTTCTTAGCATGTATATGGAAGATGCGCGTTTTAAAGACAAAGAGAAAAGGATTCGAAATAACTCAGGGGAGAGGATGGGCATCGTCTTGTAGCGGAGTAAACTTGTTGTTTATGGCATCAATCAATGTGTTGAGGACTGAACGCCAATATTTTGTGCTTCCGGGCTGGAAATAAAGAGAATGTTGGTGTTTTTCATTAGCTAGTTTCTTACACAGTTTTCGATTAGTCCGATTTGAGTTAAATGTTGACAAGCCAAAAGCAACTAATACAGAATATATAAACAGAAAACGAGAAGTCCAAAGACTAGTGCAACGCTGATTCAGAACAACGTGTATTGCCTTTTTATAACAATATTTCGGCTGGCCATACCAACCTTCCGACAACCTTTCTCAAAATAGCTGTATAAGAAAGAGTAGTGATTTCACTTGTTGAAGTATATTAAGGGGTAGGGAAATCTGTCATTGGGGTCTGTTAAAGGGCCCAATAGGGCTAATAGATGAATGAAATGGCTTTGAAAAGTCCGGAAAACGTTCTGTTTTTGAGATTAGTAGCCTGTTGACAGACTCTCTACTTCCTCTTCAAAAGTCCGTCGAGCGCGGGTGATAAAATGTAAACCGCAGGGGATTTATTGACCACCAGTGCAAGGAAGTAGGAACAAAAAGAAAAATAAAACAACGTCGGTGTACAGACTATTCTATGTAAAAAAAAAAGTGCATTTACAGCAGTCAAAAGGGATACAAAGTTCTATAAACAATATAAACAATTATATGTGGAAGAGGCACCATTTGTCACTGATAGAAGGTATGCGAAAGGGGACCTTTTTCGTCAAAAATGGTATATAAAAGGGTAAGGGGTTGGATTTTCTGGAGTTTTCTTTTTGTTTTCATTGTGGTTTGCATGAATTTTTTCAAGCGTTTTGGCCTGTATAAAATGTTTTTGCTTTCCCCATCCCTCTCCATCATTAAACTGTCCGTTCCTAAAACAGCAAGCATCGGACGAGAACATAACCTACACTTAGGCAGTATTTTTCGTTTCGCTTGCGCCGTAGACCATTTTCGCCTGGGTAAGGCGAAACGAGCGATTTACAAAAGAGAAAATCTTCAAAAAGTGAAGCAGGTCCGACAGGTTAAAGAGAGAGTAATAAGCCCGGTGGCGACATCCCACTTATAAAAAAATGAAAAGAGAAAATCGTGGCTGGGAAAATTCCCCGTCACATATTTTTATGTGCTGGGTTTACGCTTTTTTTAAGTGTTTGCCTCTCCATTCAGTCACACTGAGAATTTCTCTAGTTGACTGTATTTGTCAGCATAATTTTACTTGAGCACAGAGCATCGTTTTCAAACATTAAGCATTTTGAGGAAGATGAAAAAGGTCACCTTGAATGTGCATTTTGTTGATCTTGTCTGAGTTTTCTTTCCCCCAAATGGGAAATAAGAGGGTCTAAATGGGGTGGTGGCTTTTACGGTTATCGGCTAAAATTTTGGCTCTTCTACGGCTATCGGTTAATTTTTTTCAGTTACGGTTAACGAAAAAGTTAAAAATTAACTTCTTTTGTTTCAAAAAGTTAAATATTAATTAACCTGTATTTTTTTGTATCTTTAAATCTAAATAAAGGTCTTCGGATCATCTCGGGATGAAATAAGCTATTCTTTTGAAAAATTTTAACATTTGATAGATCATACTTTTTATAAAGTATTGCACTTCTGATATTATTTTACACATAGAAATGTCAATAGTCAATTTAAACATAATCTTTGTGAAAAAGCAAAAGCAGACACGCGAACGCCCAACTCAAGGCCGGGGCGCGACATTCATTATAACCGAAATGGCCGTTTTCACACTAGAGAAGGATTATTCGTGTGAGACGGGTTATCCGTTTGATGATTCGCGTCAGATAGATGATACGTCTTAATTTGGCAATGGAGTAATTTTAATTTTGAATAAACAATCCGCCTGACTTTTGAAGACAGGATTATCCGTTCCAGATAGCCTGTGTACAGCCGCCCCCTCCCCTCAGAAAAAAATCGGAGAAGGGGTGTCTGTGGGGAGGGCGCGACTGTACACAGGCTAGTCTCAGACGGATGATCCATTTCTAGGTCTAGTGTGAAAACGGCCAATAACAAAATTCCCATGTCCAGTGTTTCTAATGATAGTGAAGGACTGTACGGAAGGACTGTCTTGCCGTTGCCTTGTCCGTAGGCCGCATTATTCCGCGCGGCTGATGCCTTTCGGGTCATGTGGTCCGAGCGAGTTCGCCACTGAAATGCCTTGACCGAGATTGCCTGGGAAGACGCGGAACAGGGACTAGGCATGGCGATGTCTACCGTAGCGTCCGAGAAAAACAGGGAAATGTTGTTTATCGGCAACGTGTTTTACAAACAGTGACATCTCTGCGTGTTGTTTCACTACTGTTTTGAGGGCACGGCCTCCTGAAAATTGCAAATATTAATCCCCAGCAAGAAGCCACACTTTCGCTATGGAAAAAATTAGTTCCCCAAGAAAGCGCCGGAAATGGAGCCTAGG